AAACTGCCTTGATATTTGCCGCTGGTAAGACAGAATGCTAGTTAAACATGTTAGTGACTAGGTTAGATTGATCATATTATCTTAGCATCTGCTACTTACTTTTGTCCTGATAGGTCTTCAGATTCACACTATCTTCCTCTTGAACCTTGCCTACTGCCTCTTTAAACCAGTCACTTATGACATTAACTGTCTCTCCATGCACAGGGCCTTGTCGTGCCTCAATAATGATGCTTTCAAGGTGGGCATCATATTCAATGCCGCCCAGGTCGTTCTTGTTGCTCCAAGTTGTAAATTACTCAAATTTAACCTTAAAAGTTTTATTTAGTCTTCCCTTGACCTGAGATTATTTGTCACATACCTTGAATTTGTCAATTACCATCCTTCCAACAATTGCGTTTCGCAGTGCCTCCACGGTATCACTCTTCAGGTTCTGAATCGATTCAACCCCTTTAAGGATGTGATCGATGGCATCCTGCTGAGAATCCATGTTGTACATCTGCAAAAGTTCTTTGCTCTTGGGCCTTGCTTGTTTGCACTGCTCATGATCAAGGAGAGCGGCCCTGTCAGACTTTATCAGTTCGTCTGAGGGTTCAGATATGGGATTGGTCTTTGTGCCAAAGGGAGGGGCCTGAGAAATTGGTTTCCTGATGGACCTGAAAGTGCTTTGGCATTTGACAGGGGTAGGTGGCAGAGCCCCTGGCTCATGACTCGACCACTGGCCATTCTCACGAGGACGTAATGCAGAAGGTAAAAAGAAGAGAGTTTTTGCGTCACCAATGACAGACGTCATTGTCTCTTTGGTATCACTATGAAGGATCTAGAACCTTGGTAAAGATGCCAATATGACAAATATACGCCCGGGGAATTGTTCTGCAACTGATGGAAAAGAGGGATCTATACCATTGGCATTCCCTTGCAAATCCTATGGCAAGTACTAGATGGGCGAGGTTATATATCTTGTAATCATGCTGCTCTTGTCTCACTTTCCTTTTATTTATCTTACTGGTCTGTATATACTGATAGAAAGCTTCCAAGCCTGAGGAGAGCTGCACATGAGATAGAGAGCCTGCTTGAAGGTACTTTCTTTGCCTTCAAAGAGTAAAAAACACATGTAACTTTAGTATGTCTCTAGAATTACAAAGTAAAGAAGACGTATTATGGAACAA